GGAGTGATGCTATGTAATAATTACAAAAAAAAAAAAAAAAAAAAAAAAACATCATCATCATCATCCCTATCAAGCCAGATAGGCATCATCAACACTTCCACAGATACTCCTCCGGGTGGCATAAGCGTAACCTGGGCTAGTCTTGCTTCACCTTCATATGCAGATTAGCAAATGTAACAACAATAACAACAACAACAACGACCCCTGTAGGCAGAGTGTTCTCTGCCGCGGCGGGGTCACATCTGACCGCGCGGCCAGGTTGCCGTTTGGCAGGGCTCGCCGTCTGACCTAGGCACCCTCGCCTTAACCCAAGCCTTGTCATTTTGTGTTATCAATCCGTGTGCTGAACTCTAATCAATAAAGGGTTTTAAGCCTCCAAGCTTTTACTACTCCCTGTCACCAATGTTTAGAGGTCCTTCTATAACCCTTACAGTGTGTGTGTGTGTGTGTGTGTGTGCGTGTGCGTGTGTGTGTTTGTGCGTAAGTAGGTTGATAGTGATAATACCAGTTTTGTAATTAGGTAGGCTGTGATATAATAAGGCAGTAAGTAGAAAATATTACCATAGTATGACAGGAGGTACATATTGTCAGATGATGATGATACTGATGGTTATGATAACGATGAAACTACTGCCATTACTAATATTCTACTATTGCTATTACAATTACTGCCACTGTTGATTATTGCATGATAGCAAGGCTATTTACAGAGATAATGGTAGTGTACTAATAAAACCGAAAAGTAAGAGATTAAATAGTAATAAAGATAGTAAGTAGATTTATGGTGATAATGATAATGTAACAGATAAAAAAACTGTAATAATCATTGGTAGATTTTAACACAGAAGAGAATACAAGTTAGATTAATGGCATACAAAGACGATAAATTGTATAATTGCGCGAGCTTTGAAGTTGATAAATGGTAAATAACAAAACAAAGCCAAGGAATGCCTTTGGAAATATTGATGACATCGACATTGATTGATTACTGTTATCATAGCTTGTATCTATTTTGAATTTATATTTGATATACATGGAACTATATGCATTATGATATGAGCATTAGAATAAGAATATGTTCAAGCCACGCAAAAATGAAACTGCTAATAATCATGTTAAATATATAGACACATTAAGAATCTTTACTTTCTGTTTTTGATTGGCTGGTTATTGAGAAATGTTAGTATTAACATTCTGTCAAGCTATATTTCTGTCTCAAATTGAAGCACCAGGTTTCATGTGTGATTAACATTTTATTTGCAAAAAAAAAAAAAAAAAAAAGTAATACAAATATAGCTACATAAAATACTTTTAATTTCCATGTTTTATTACAATAATCGCGGTAAAACGGAGGTATAACGGAGTATTTACAATGTATGTGATAGAGGCAAGTGAGAAAATGTAATTAAATATAAAGTTAGTTGTGAAAATGAGGGAATGTGTGACTCGATATGATTCTCAGGCATTTACATCTTTTTGACACGTTTGTCCAACTTCTTGAGTTCTCGAATTTCATTGGGAAGGTCGTCTCCTACTTGCTCTTCGAAGTACTTGGCGATGGCTTGCGTCTCTTGCTGCCAGAATCCTTTCGGGAGCCTGAAAAGCTCATGCATGTCGATATTATGGTCCTCCAAGCCCGCCATGTTGAGGCACGAAGGCTTTGGAAGGAGGCCGACGGCGCTCTCCTCTGCCACGTCCTCTCCGTCGACACGTCAAAGGATCCAGTCCAGGACGCGAACGTTCTCGCCGAAACCAGGCCAGATGAAACGTCCCTTCTCCATGCTGAGCCAGTGCTGCAAGTAGTGGCCGGGACGTCTTCGTCCAAAAAGAATGGCCGAGATGGGAACGCCCTTGGGGTCCTCCCACGCTGGGTCGATGATGGGGCACTGGCCATCTGGTGTACAGAAGCGAGAGTTGGGATGAGTCCCTCCCAAAAAACTCCTCCATCACTGGTCTGGAAAACATTGGTGAAGATGGTGTTGGACAGGACGGTTTTCATGGCCACAGGGTTGGTGTGCATGGAGGGGCCGGGGGCCATGCCGAAGAAGCCGTTCTCAGGATTGATGGCACGCAAGATACCGTCCTCGTCAAACTTCATCCAAGCTATGTCGTCGCCCACACACTCCACTTTGTAGCCTGGAAGGGATGGGGTCATCATGGCCAGGTTGGTCTTGCCGCAGGCGGAGGGGAAAGCAGTTGCGATGTATTTCTTGACTCCCTGTGGGTTCGTGATGCCCAGGATGAGCATATGTTTGGCCAGCCAGCCTTCACGACGGGCGATGGTGGAGCCAATGCGAAGGGCAAAGCATTTCTTTCCCAAGAGGGAGTTTCCGCCATATCCCGACCCGAAGGATATGATCTCGTTGGTTTCTGGCACGTTTGTCACGATAGTTCTCTCGGGGTCTCATGGCCAGTTGTTGACCAACGTCCTCTTCAGGGGAAGTGGGCATCCTACTGAGTGGAGGCACTTTTGACGAAGTCTTGCTCAGCGAGCACAGCC